GGCTCAGCGCCTGTAGCTCAAGTGGCTAAGGCGCCAGCCACATACAGCAGAGCTGGCAGGTTCCATTCCAACCCAGGCCTGCCAAACAACAATGGCAACTATAACCAAAAAATAGCAGGTGCCTGTGGTCCCAGCTACTTGGGAGGCTGAGGCAAGATAATTGCTTAAGCTCAAGAGTTGGAGGTTGCTGTGAGCTGTGACAGCATGGCACTCTACCCAGGAGGATAGCTTGAGGCCCTGTCTCAAAAAAAAAAAAAAAAAAGAATCTGCAAGTGAGGGAGTAGATGTTTCATGAGTCCTTGATTTATTGAGGGATGAGAAGATATCCAGGCTTTTTTCCCCATCACTTACCTTTTTGCCATTGTCAGAGATAGGATATTCATCTGAACCAGTGTCTGGCCTACTTTGACAGATATTTATATTGATTTTAAAATCTTTATACTGATTCCATGTACCAAGGAGATTACATGAAGTTCTGTTTCTCAGAGAGGTCGATGATGGCAATTTGAATGGGAGAGGGTTTTTTTGTTTTTTTTTGAGACAGAGTCTCACTATGTTGGTCTTGGTAGAGTGCTGTGGTGTCACAGCTCACAGCAACCTCAAACTCTTGGGCTTATGTGATTCTTTTGCCTCAGCCTCCTGGGTGGCTGAGACCGCAGGTGTCCACTAAATGCCTGGCTATTTTCTTGTTGCAATTGTCGTCGTTTAGCTGGTCCAGGCTGGGCTCCAGTCCACCAGCACTGGTGTATATGGCTGTTGCCCTAACCGCTGAGCTATAGGCACTGAGCCTGTTTTTTTGAGACGGGGTCTTAACTGTCGCCCTGGATGGAGTGCTATGGTATTGTCATAGCTCACAGCAGCCTCAAACTCTTGGACTTTAGCAATCCTCTTGCCTCAGCCTCCTGAGTAGCTAGGACTACAGGTGCCCAGCAAGACTCCCAGCTTGTTTTTCTACTTTTAGTAGAGACAGGGTTTTGCTCTTGCTTAGGCTGGTCTTGAACTCCTGAGCTCAGGCAATCCACCCACCTCGGCCTCCCAGAGTGCTGGGATCATAGGCCTGAGCCACCATGCCTGCCTTGGCTCCAACTCTTTAAATTACAGTAGTACTTGCCAGTTCGTGTCACCTGCCAAACACGCCCACAGACGTTCAGACGGCCCCTGGAGCCCTGCGTGTTTTTGCTATGGCCTCTAACAGAGCATATGATCCTTTCCCTTTCCTTGACAGTATTATGCCTACCTGTATTCTTACGTGATGCCCCAGGCCATCCGAGACATGGTGGATGAGTACATCAACTGTGAGGACATTGCCATGAACTTCCTGGTCTCCCACATCACTCGGAAACCCCCTATCAAGGTGAGACCCTGCTGGCGTGACTGCACACGTGTGCATATTCACTGGTTTGGGGTGGCGCTGTGCCAGGCCCCAGAGCCCTCGTTGGTACAGAGGGAGTTAGGGTACCACCAAGCTCATTGTGCACTAGGTGGAGTTAAATTAATTGTTACTACAGAGTCTCTACGCTCCTAACGCAGAGGGTTTCAACCTTGGGCAGGAAAGATGTTGCATCTGTTTTTATTAATCTTTGACTAGAATTCAGCATTTTCTTTAAGGATGAAACAGGCTACACTTCACGAGAGTATTAGCAGTAAGGGTGACCTGTCACCAGTGGACGTCACAGCTATTTTCATATCACATTCCCTTTGTTATATTTCTTTATGTGTTTATTAAATTTTTTATAGTATTTCTTAAATTTATTATATCTACAAAAAGTATTGCTTCTGTTTGTCACTGCTTTGAAATCATGGTAGTGATTACACTTCCCCTAGATCTTATTTAATACATTAATAAAAGGGCTTACATGCTGCTGTATTTCAGTATGACTTGTCTCCTTTGAAACCCACGTGTGTTAGCTTGTTTCTGAAAACTTAATCTGCGGAGTCTGCAGCCTTCAGCAGATGGCCAGGCTGGAGTTGGGCAGAGGTTTGTCCATCAGACAAAGTATTCAGGAATTTCTGAATTAATACATGTAATGCTCTAAGAATAGTGCCTACAACATATGTGCTGTATAAATTATTTGCTCTAAAACAAACGTGCCCTCTCAATTCTAGAAATTTCTGATTTTTGTCTTTGAACTGCTAATTAGGTTTAGGCCAGAATAAACCAGTTTTACCATCAGGCAGTTCTCTCATCCTTCTGTCATCGTTGCAGGCTGAGGCTGTCTGGTGAGGGTTTAGAGAGCGCTAGTCCTTACAGAAGCGGGTGTTATTAGGCCTGGTAAGATCTTGTAACAAATGATACTGCAGAAACTATCACTTTAAATGGTTAGCATTCATGACTGTGTTCTCTGTTTGTCATGGATTTACACCAGTGTGCTCAGAAAGGTCACCAAATTAGTTAAGGTCTTATTTTCATTATTATCAAAAAGGCATATTCCTTAATATTATTATAATTGAATAGGATTACCTTCATGGGTGTCATATTGCCATGGGTCAATAATTGTGTGCGTGTTTCATTCTTATATTTAGACTAAGTTTACACCAGCATGTACTAATAACAATAATCAAAGCATGTATTTAGAAGCTAGGTGCAGTGGCATACTAGTAGTGTAGTCCCAGCTACTCAGGAGGCTGAGGCAGGAGGATCATTTGAGTCTAGGAGTTTGAGACAGCCTGGGCAACATAGCAAGACCCTGTTAAAAAATATCTATCTTGAGTGGTAAGCAGAGTGGTAGCCAGGGCCATTGTTTCCATGCAACAAAGCATAACAAAGATTACAGAGGAATACATGTGGGTCCTGTGCACCTAGTCACACCTTTCCCCAGGTATGGCCTAGGATAAGAACCGAACTTGCAATTACCTATAGTTTTTTCTATTGCTGAGATTTCTGCTATCTCTTTACAAAAAGAGAATAATTAGCATAATAATATATCAAATTGTTTTTATGAAAACTGTGAATAATAGGCATAACTATTTATATACAAATATTTAGGCTAGGCGTGGTGGTTTACCCTGTAATTCTAGTACCCTGGGAGGCTGAGGTGGGTGGATTGCTTGAGCTCAGGAGTTCAAGACCAGCCTGAGCAAGAGCCAGACCCTGTCTCTACTAAAAAATAGAAAAATTAGCCAGGTGTGGTGGTGTAGGTTTGTAGTCTCAGCTACTTGCGAGGCTGAGGCAAGAGGAGTTTGCGGTCACTGTGAACTATGATGTCACAGCATTCTGCCTAGGGTGACAGAGACTCTTGTCTCAAAAAAAAAAAAAGCGTTTTCTGGGTATGGTGGTGCTCTAATATTATAAACAGGGAAAGTACACTTCTTTGTAAACTTTGGAGGCAAAGTTCTTGGAAATACGTTAATGATTGGTGCAAATTTCTTTTCTTTATATATCCTTTTTTTATGTGGCCGGAGGCTTGACGTCAGTCAAGAGAAATGCTTCTATTTATGCCTCTCTATCGTATCAGAAGACATTCCCTGTGAAAATTTTGGTACCTGGGTGATTAGGTAGCTAATAATAGCATCAGTCACCTGTGCATTCCCAGACGTGACGTATTTGTCATCTTCATTAAAATGTGTTTATCTGCTGTGTTCGCCAAGATCCTAGTGAGAAGGAGGGAGACCGTGTGGACTAACCTTACCAGAAATCATGGATGCTCGTAGTGTAATTAGGGCAATCTGATGTCGGCACAGAGATAGACAAATAGACCAGTCAGTCATACAAAGTAGAGAGTGGAAAGACATTCCATCTCTGCCATACCCACAGTATTCCAGATGGATTTATGAACTAAAAGTGAATAACAGACTCTGAGACTTCTAATAAAAAGAAAAGTACAGGAGTATTTTTGTAATCATTGCCAAAGAAAAAGCATTAACACCCAGAATAATAGAGGATTAACAAATGAGACCAAACAACTCACTAGACAAATTAGTAAGATACATAAAAAAAGCAGGTCAATGGATGGCTCAGTGAGTAGGGTGCTGGCTCCATGTACTGAGGGTGGTGGGTTCAAACCCGGCCCCGGCCAAATTGCAACAAGAAAAATAGCCAGGTATTGTAGCAGGCACCTGTAGTCTCAGCTACTTGGGAGGCTGAGGCAAGAGAATTGCCTAAGCCCAGGAGTTGGAGGTTGCTATGAGTTGGGACGCCACAGCACTCTACTGAGGGTTAATAAGTGAAACTCTGTCTCACAAAAAAGGGCAGGTCTGTGACAAGGAGCCCGAATGACTAACAAGCCTGTGCAGAGGTGCTCTGGGTGACCAGGGAGCACAAATCACAGCACTGGAGACTTTATTCCTGTCAGATGGACAGGACTGGCAGTCTGATAGCACCAAATGGCAGTCAGGACGTGTAGAAATTGAAATAGTGTGTAGTCCTAGTGCCCCCTGGACAGCCAAGGAAACATCTCCATTGGTACACACGTTGGAACTCCATTCTGGAGAAAGTTCGGTGTTATCGAGTGTCACTGAAGACACGAGCTCCCTGTGGTCTAGCAGGAGAGGGAATGGAAGTGAGGGGGACATATTGCAGTGACTCTGTAACAGTTTATATATTTTTTTTTTTAAAGGAGAAAAATACATCTAAAATAAGGCAAAATGTTAATACTTAACAAAACTGTTAGGTGAGAATGTGTTATTCTTCCTTTTTTAAAAATGTAAGGTTTCATATGTAGATTTTAAACCATTAGTAGCAAGCATTTCATATATATTTAAATGCTTTATGTATTTGTTTAATACACATACATAATACGCCTTGTCTTTCAACATGCATACAGTCAAAACGATACTCTAAATAAGAACGCGTGGCTTTATCAGTGCCCACCATGGCGTCTGCTCCTCCACAGCCCAGCTGGCCCCTTCTCTCTGTAGATAATCACTGTCCTGCAGGAGGTTTTTAAAATTTTCTTCCTTTTCCTCTCCTGTCTTTAAAAAAAGGTTTGCCATATGTGTATTTATCCCTAAATGATTGGCACTTTTTAAACTTACATAAATGAGATCAAACTTACAAGTAGTTCTTTGCGTTTTGCTTTTTAAATATTCAGGAAGATGTCTGTGAGCTTAGTCAGTATCGATGCCTGAAGCTGTAGTTCATTCATCTCATTGCCCCATATCCCAGGGTATGAAGTGTCTTCATACCGTTTGCCATACCTTTTTTTTTTTTTTTTTGCAGTTTTTGGCCGGGGCTGGGTTTGAACCTGCCACCTCGGTATATGGGGCCGGTGCCCTACTCCTTTGAGCCACAGGTGCTGCCCTTCGCCATACTCTTCTAAACGTTTTATATTTTGTCTTTCTGTATTTACATCATCAATCCTGCCAGATGTGATTTTTGTGTGAGGTGTAAGGGAGGGGCCCAGTTTCTTTGTTTTCTCATAGCCGGATGCTGTTCATCTGCCGTGGACACTTAGTTCCTCTGTCGCCCGGAGGTCTGCAGCTCTGTGCTGGCTCTGCCCTTCATCCAGTCTGGCATCTGTGTGACAGGTCTCTTTACGGAGGCTTTATTCTGTTCTCTTGGCCTGTACCCACGCGACAGGTTCCTTCACCTCAGCCTTGTACTTCCGGAGTGTCTCAGCTATTCTTGAGTTTTGTTTTTTTTTTTTACTCCCACATAGATTTTGGAATCAGTTCGTTGATACGCACACATGCACAGACACGGGGGACTTTGATGGGAATTGAACCTATAGTTGAAATGAGGAAAACCGATGCCTTTAAAACATTGATTCTTTTTTGTGAGACAGAGTCTCACTTGATCACCCTGGGTAGACTGCTGTGACATCATAGCTCACAGCAACCTCAAACCCTTGGGTTCAAGTGATCCTTTCACCTCAGCCTCCCAAGTAGCTGGGACTACAGGTGCCCACCACAATGCCCGGCTATTTTTAGAGACAGGGTCTTACTCTTGCTCAGGCTGGTCTTGAACTCATGAGCTGAGGCAATGCACCCGCCTTGGTCTCCCAAGTGCTGGGATTACAGGTGTGAGCCACAGTGCCTGGCCAAAATAATGATTCTTTCTACTGAAGAATATTGTATAACCTCAAGCTATAGAGTTCCGTGGTATTTTTCTAATAGAGGTCTTGAAACATATTTTCTTAGATTTATTTCTAGGTGTCCTACATATTTTGTTAGTAAATAATATTTCTGACAGTTACATTTTCTTTTTGTTACATAGAGCCATTTACATTTTTCATATCTAGCAAACTTGCTAAAACTCTTAATTTAAAACGTGTTGGCTGGGCATGGTGGCTCACACCTGTAACCCTAGCCCTCCTCAAGGCCAAGGGAGGAGGATTGCTTGAGGTTAGGAGTTTGAGAGGCTTTTAAGGCTTTTTTAGTATCTTAATAAATGTGCCATTTGGGTAGAACGCCTCGTTAATGCTCTAGGAATGCTGTGCACAGTTGGTAGGAAGCAGCCCTGGGCTGCGCCCTGGCTCCTGACCTGCTCTGCGTGAGAGTCACTGTGGGGTTCAGCAGCTTCAATGTGGGAGTGCGGGTGTCGGATCTACTTAGCTGCAAGGTGTCTGTCAGCGTCAGCGCTGTGATTCTCTCTCTTTCTTCCCTGTTGCCAGGTAACTTCAAGGTGGACGTTCCGGTGCCCGGGATGCCCGCAGGCCCTGTCACATGATGACTCCCATTTCCATGAGCGGCACAAGTGCATCAACTTTTTTGTGAAGGTGTACGGCTATATGCCCCTCCTGTACACCCAGTTCAGGGTGGACTCTGTGCTCTTCAAGACGCGCCTGCCCCATGACAAGACCAAGTGTTTCAAGTTCATCTAGGGCATTGCAGGATTTGGGGAGAAGACAGGCAGAGTAAGGAAGACGGCTCCTAAGGTTCCTAGGCATTGAAGGACCTTGGGGACATTGCTGGGTGGGTGGCCCAGCCCCTCTGCTGGGAGAGGCAGCAGGAAGAGTGGGAAGGAGACAGCTGCCTTTATCTTGAAGTCAGCCACACTGGGCCTGGAACCCTGGTCAGAAGGGCTTGGGGTTCCCTACACAGGGCACTGACTGATAGCTTACACTGAGGGCCATGGGGGCTCAGGAGAGTCACTTACATAGGTCATAAGCCCAGAACAGCTGGTTTATGGTTTTAAAATTTAATAACTATTATTTAAAAAGAGAAAGTTTCAGATTTGCCATTCAAGGCTTATTTCTATGTGTATATGTACATATGTGTGTGTGCACACACTCATGTATGCATATATATGTATTTTTTTTTTTTTTTTTGTGGGGAGAGTTTGAAATTTTTGCTTCTCTCATGAAAGATCCATCTGGCTTATTCTGTTCTCTATTTTGGCGGAGATGGGTCATGGCCTTCTGTTACTTGCCTTGTCCTTAAAGATCATCTCCGATCCTCCCCAGGGGCATCTGTGTGCAGAGACAAGAAAGGGGTAGACTTGGCCTTTCTGTGGGGCCTCGGACAAGACAAGATCTGCGGGCTGTTCTCTTCTCCTTCCTGTGCAGGTCAGTGCTCTGACTCGTGGTGGAGGACCCACGCTGTAGGGGCAGCTGAGCTTCCTTTTGCTGGGTCATTGGTTTTTGAGGATCCATCCTTAGGCCAGTGCTTGTCCCAGGACATGTCCCTGGCTCTGTCTCTCCCCATTTGAAGAACAAGGCCTGAAGACAGTACTCCCAAATGGCTCTTTTTGTCCTGCCTTCTTGTTAAGAAGGGTGTTGAGCTTTGGGCTTCAGGCTTTTCTGGAGCGTTACCTGTTGGATAAAAGAACAGGGAGCCTTGCAGGCTGCATGCCCAGGCTGGTCTGAGGTGGTGTGCAGGTTGGCCTGCTCTTTCTGGTGTAGAACAAGCAGGTGTCCTTTGAGGACCCCACCCGGCGGGCCGGGAAGTCTTACAGGAAGGCACTGCCTTGGAATGAACACCTAGGTGAAATTCACCTTCCTCCACCTTTGGCTGCACCCCCCTCCTGTGTTACCTGTGGTTTTTGAACCCCTCATGCCAGGTTGGCTGTAGTACCCCGTGAAGTTTGGAATGTGCTGGAACACTGGGAGGCTATGATTTGCTGTGTAAGCTCAGATCCGGCCTTGGAATTTCTCTGGCATTCACACCCACATTTACCTTTTGCTACTCCCAGTTTAAACTTTTGTTTCCTGGGCTGAAAGTGAAATAAGCTGATTTTTTGGTCGTGGCAGCAGGAGGGGACCGAGGAGGGTGTTTGTGGCATTTGTCAGGGATTTAGCCCGTGACTTTCTCCAAGTGGAGGTGACTGTGGACGATTTCTAGCAACTGAACAATAGCTCAGGTCTGTCTGGTCGTGCACATGCCTTAAGCCAGTTCTGTCTTCCCTAGACCTTGACGTCCTGTGCTGCTATTTCTTGGGGTACGTTTTCCGCTGACCCACCTGTCGCAAATGGGTTCTCCTCAAGTGTTGTTTTGAAGCCAGGCTCTTCTCTGTAGATAACCCCATCCATAGGGCCGGCTTGGCGTAAGGGAACTCGCCTCATTGGCAAACAGGACCAGGGCTGCTCCCGGGGCTGTCTCGCCCCACAGCTTCCCCCTGGCATCTGCTTGTTGCTCTCCTGCTGTGGCAGCTGCCTGGGACATGCGGTTGTGCTTCTTAGCAACACAGCAAAGGGGTCCAGACTCCCTGCATAGGAACTTTCTATCCACTCTTTCCTTGACTTTTGACTTTTTAGCAGTAGCCTTCTTCCCTTGGGGGAGCCAAAGAGCGTGGTGTTTTGCGCCGTGTATGTGGCTGCTATTTTATCTTGTTTCTTTTAATGCGAGGAACTCATAAACTCTCGGGGACCTGGTGACAAGGGGCAGTCTGTGGTAGGACCCCCTTCTGGGTCCCTGAATGTTCCTGGTGGACCCCTGAGTAGCTGAGTGGTCTGGAATCATGGGCGGCATCCGAGTGCTGCAGGGAGGGTCGCCATGTCCCAGCTTCACACCGGGGCAGCGCTCTGTGGCCCAGAGAGGAGCGCTGCTGGCTGCAGAAGCTCCAGGGGACACTGGCCATGCTCCTAAAGGACATGCCCTCCTCGGTGAGAGGCAGAGCAGATGGACGCATGTGCTGCTGGTTAGTGCCCTGTGGGGTGGGTGGGGAGAGACCCAGAGCCCCACCTTTGGTGCTGCTCGCCTGGGAAAGCTGCCCACCTGGGACTCACCTGAAATGGGAAGTGGCTGTGCAGACCCTGAGCTTTCCTTGGCTGTCTGTAGGTAATACCTCATTACCTAGTCGTGGCCCCAGGGCCGCTGTGACCTTCCAGGTACCAGTTTGTTCTTCACTGTGAGGGTTTTCCCCCTAAGTGACACCTGGCAGGGTGCTCATCGGGCCAGTCTGAGCCTTTGCCTGCCTGAGCAGTGGGTCTGGTCTGGCCTGGCCTGCACTCAAGCTGGGCTTACTGATCACAGGGGTCCCATCCAGGAGGCAGTAGCTGCCTGGGTGTGTGTGCAGGGAGCTCCCGGTGTGAAAGGGATGCTCTGATACCCAGGCCATCCATCTACCCACCCCCTTTCCAGTCACGAGCACAATGGTCTTAGACGTTGGATTTTTGTAAAAAAACAAAAATAAAAAATAAACGGAAACTTTAACTCAAGCAGCTTGGAGGTCTTTTGTGATTTCCCCCAGCAGAACAGTGAGTGGCCTGAGGGGGTAGCTGCAGGTGCATGGCCAGCTGGCCCGTTCCCAGAGGCCTGTGGTGTGTGATCAGGCCTGGAACTGCCTGCAGACCTGCCCCGGGTGAGCTGAACACGCACCCATTCCGACAGGCTTCCCTGCACCGGTTCCTGGGCTGAGTCAGGGTCATTAGCCTCAGAGGAACTTAGGTGCCATTTACCTGAGTTAAGTGTGATGTCGCACAGCTTGTGGCACATATATGCAAACTGAAGTTTTTTATTTTTTGTGACAGGGTCTCACTATGTCACCCTGGGTAGAGTGCCATGGTGTCACAGCTCACAGCAACCTCAAATTCGGGCTGAAGTGATTCTCTTGCCTCAGCCTCCTAAGTAGCTGGGACTACAGGTGCTTGCAACAATGCCTGGCTATTTGTTGTTGTTGTTGTTGTTGCAGTTGTCATTGCTGTTTTTAGCTGGCCCAGGCCAGATTCGGACCCTCCAGCCTGTGTATGTGGCCGGTCCCCTACCCACTGAGCTTTGGGCACCACTCCAACCTGAAGTTTTTCATGGGAATTTGATGTGTATAGCCAAGAAGCTGTGTATGCCTGCTTCCCAGTACACAGGTGAGAGCTCGCAGAGAACCCTGGCGCCTGGCTCATACTCCTGTTACTCCCATCCTTCTGGTGTCTACGATTCTAGAACTTCTGCCTTGGGAGCGAGCACTGAGCCCCAGGCTCAGGAGACGGATGGAAGCAGGAAAGAAGTTGAGTCGGGTTCTCCTCTCCTGGTCTTTTCAGGTGGCAGTTTGGGTAGCACTGACAATCCTAAGAGCGGTGGGACCTAGAAGACCGTGTCCTTCCTGAAGTGGGGCTAAAGACTGATCAGGCAGGTTTGATGCAGATGCTGGAGATCCCTCCTTGGGCCTTGGAGTCCTGGCTACACAGCCCCTGTTCTTCCGGCCATCTGTCTCCTTGACGGCTCCAGGGCAGAGACTGGAGTGGGCTGCGGGGCTGCAGTAGACAGGCCCTCCATACACCGACGGTGTCTCCTCGGTCTGTTCTGGTCACTTCTGGCTTGAACTTAAGGTGAGCCTAAGTGGCAAGTGTTAGCTGTTGATGTGATTGTCACTTGAGTTGAAGGTTCTACAGTGTTTACTAAAATACGTTTAAGGAGGAGCATGTGTGATTGAGGGAGTGGGCTCTGGAGCAAACTGTGGGTTCCGATCCTGGTCTGCCCACACAGTGGAGGAGAACAGGTCATCTGTTGTAAGCTCTAGTCTCATCTGTGAAACGGTAAAACTTGCGCCCGCCTCTTAAACGTTAGCATGGTAAATATAAAGTGTCGACTCTTGACTCACTATAAAACGAACCATCACTGGGGTGAAACTTTGCCAGTCTCATGGCTCACTCTTCATCCCATCCGAGCACTGCGCCTTGCTCACGCCTGCTGGGGGCGTGCAGGAAGCCCACCCTCCTCAGAGGTTGCTACTTGTGCTGTCTAGCCTTGTCACCTTAACATGGTGACAGTTTACTGCTCTGCCTCCCACACCAGGTTGGAAGGCTTTGGAGACTACAGCCCTGAGTAGTGTCCAGAGGTTTCTGATGAGTGAACGACTGCTTTGAACTAGACCATCGCTGCGCTGACCGTCCTGGAGCACCCCTGGCACAGCTGACGTGGTCTTGCCTGACATAGAGGCTCAGAAGTGTCAGAGCCACTATGTTATTTGAAATCTTTAACCAAAAAAAAAAAAAAAAAAAAAAAATTAAAACATAAAACTCCTTTAGGCTCAGTGCCTGTGGCTCAAGCGGCTAAGGTGCCAGCCACATACACCTGAGCTGGCAGGTTCGAATCCAGCCCTATGGCTGCAACCAAGAAATGGCCAGGCGTTGTGGCGGGCACCTGTGGTCCCAGCTACTTGGGAGGCAGAGGCAGGAGACTTGTCTGAGCCCAGGAGTTGGAGGTTGCTGTGAGCTGTGATGCCCCAGCATTCTACCCAGGGCAATAGCTTGAGGCTCTGTCTCAAAATAAATAAATAAATAAACTTCTTTGACAAAGGCAGTTGCAAAGGGAGTGTGCTGAGAATTAAGGACAACACATGGATTCCAGAAGCAGTTAAAGCAGGTGGGAAGCCCTGCCTTGGGGCTGGTTTTGCTTTGCTATCTAATGTCACCTGGTTTTTAATTTGTTGTAATTTGGTAAATTGTTTTACCTTTCTTTGTCTTCATGTTTGTGAAAGAATACAAATCCTAGTCACATTGTTGGGCTGTCATGTAAGCATTTCAACTATTTAAATCCTATTTATTTGAACCACTGGTCTCAGTGTTTTATCGTGAAACATTTCAAGCATGCAGCAAGGTTGAAGGCGTTTCTGTGGAGTGAGCCTGGTCCCCACTGACCGTTTCACTATTGCGAGTGGTTCTCCTTCGGTCCACCCTCTGGCCATTCCCCCAGCCCTCCGTCTGTCCTTCCATCCACACCAGCTTTGGTGCTTTTCTAAGTAGATTAGTGACATTAGTATGTTAACCACTAAATATATAAGCACATGTGTCATTAACTGTAGATCGGTATCCGCTTCTGTTTTTCTTACTTTTTTGTTTTTAATGTAAACTGCACATTTTAAATTCACTCACTGAAACACATCTTAAATTTGTGCACCTCAATAACCCAAACCCTTCCCAAGATAGAGAATGTTACTGTCAACCCCGAAAGTCCCCTTTTGCTCCTCCTGGCCTGTCCCATCTGTCCGACCCGCTCTGCATTTGTACCTTGGATTAGTTTTCTGTATTTTAGAAGTCGTTTAAGTAGCATACGATTTTTTTACTCGTGTAAAGCTCCTAGAAACTCAGCGTAGTGTTTCTGAGATTGAGCCGGTGTTGCTGCACGCACTGGTGGTTTGTGGCTTTTGATTGCTAAGTAGTGTTCCCTTCTGTGGCTCGAACAAAGTCTGTCCATTCTCTCAGGATGCTGGGCTGTTTCCACGTTTTGGATGTTATGAATAAAGCTGCCGAGAACATTCACGTGCAACTCTCTGTGGATTTACATTTTTATTTCTCGTAGCTAAATACCTACGAGTGGAGTTGTTGGGTGATATGGCAGGTTATATGTTTAGTTTTATAGGAGACTGCCAGACCTTTTCCAGAGTGATTGTGCCATTTTGTATGAATGCCAATAATTGTGACAGTTGGGGTTCCACATCGTCACTGATCCGTGCTGGTGTCAGACTTTCATTTTAGCCATTTTGGTAACAGCATCCTGTAGGTCCAGCTTCCATCTTTCCTGGTAACTAATGATGCTGAACACTTTCTCATGTGCTGACACCGTTTATCTATATATTTCCGTTGTGAAGTGTCAATCTCAATCTTTTGATCATTAAAAAAATGGGTTGTCTTTTTTGCTATTGCTTTTTTTCTTATAGATATTTTTAGTGTATATAAGACATCTATTTTTAGTATATATAAGAATTAGTAGACTTTTGGGGGGAGCAATTTTATTTCAGAATGTTACAGGTGTACAAATGTTTTGGTTACATGCATTTTATACAGTTGGAGTCAAGAGCAATTTTAGATTTACATAAAACTGAGTGGGAAGTACAGGGTCCCTCTCCTTCCACCAGGCTCCTCCCTGCCCCTTTATTAGCCTGTTGTGATAGATTTGTAGTTTGCTGTAGGTTTGTTATAATGAGGAGCCAGTATCGGTGTTAACTACAGTCCGTAGTTGATATTAGGGTTCACTCTTTTTGTATATTCTCTAGCTTTTGATAAAGGTGTAAGGACACATCCATGATTACAGTATCACACAGAATAGTTTCACTCTCCTAAAACCTTCCTGTACTTCACTTTTGTTCTAGACTAAAAGGCATAAAAACGGAAACCCCTCTGCCGTCTTCTGCTTCTCAGTTTTGACTGTCCTTCTGAGTGAGGCTGCTTTTTCCTTTAACTCTCTAAGTCTTCCGCTTTTGTTTTTGTGGTTATTTACCTATCTACATCACCATCCCACTATTTAACTCTTACAAAAGGTTTTTTTTTTTTTGGCCAGGGCTGGGTTTGAACCCGCCACCTCTGGCATATGGGGCCAGCGCCCTACTCCTTTGAGCCACAGGTGCCGCCCCACTCTTAAAAAATGTTTTAACACGCAATACTCGAAACAAAGATTGGCATACTTTTTCTGTAAAGAATTAGGTAAATATTTTAGGCTTGAAGGCCATGTGTGATACTTTTTTTTTTTTTAACTTAGCTTATGGACCAGATTTGGGTTGTAGGCCAACCTCTGCTCCATAGCTGTACATCAGGAAGATTTAGAAATGGGTTAGGAATTATTACTGTGGTTTGTTGTAGAGAACGGTAAGGGTAAATCCTGCTGACACAAGAACTGTTAGGCAGGGGCTACATTTCCATTTTCCCCAGAGGCCTCCAAAACCAACATAAGGGAAATAAGTATTGTGCACGCCTGATGAGATGTGGTTGTAGAACCCCTTTCAAAGATCCATAGTCTTTAGCCGGGCATTGTGGTGGGCACAAGTAGTCCCAGCTACTCCAAGGCTGAGGCAAGAGAATTGCTTAGCTCAAGAGTTTGAGGTTGCCGTGAGCTGTGATGCTACGGCACTCTGCCCAGGGCGACAGCTTGAGACTGTCTCCAAAAGAAATCTGTGGTCCTGTCACTGAAGAGTTCAAATAATGCATATAAAATACTGTTCTGTGACTAAAACCTATAATAGACTACCAAGGAGCACAGAGAGAAGGTGGAGTCAACTATGCAGCTGGACTCTGTGGCTCGGTTCTGCACTGCCCGTCTCTAGAATTCACCTGGGACTTCAGAGTTGCGGTTGCTTATTTACAGCCCATTTGAAGTTCAGAGAAGGGCAGTGTTACGCACATGTGCAGTCCCACCGCACTGGACTTGAAAGGTAAAGGTAAACATTACCTCCTTCTGACAGGTGGCATGAAAGAACCTGGCAGCGTTCAGCTGAGGGCCCAGGAAGACAGTGTCCCCCTCTCCTTCCCACCAGACTGCTTGCTTGGTTTACACATGTTTCTGTGTCTACTTCATTATAGTTTGGAAAGGCAAACCTGCTTTGATAGGACAAATGTGAAGGCTGAAAGTGCTGCACTCTCCAGGGATCGGAAGAGAAGCAGCAGGTGTGTGAAGAGTAATGGCTGAGCAGCAGGCTCCTTTAACTGGAGCTGTGTGTTTTGGGGAAAGTCACTTAACCTCTGTCCGGTTTCCTCATCCAACAACTTGACTGCAGCGTGTGGAGAGGACCCTGAGCTGGGAGCATCCGGCTAAGCCACCCCCGATTCCTGACCCACAGACATGGTGAGATGTGTGTTGTTTTTAGCACTATGTCTGGGGGTAAGTTACTATGTAATAGTAGATACCTAATATGTCACTTTGTAGAAAGACTTAAGTAACAGTTTTTAAGGTTTTTTTTCATTACCACTTAATTATTAGGATTCCACTGAGCTTTAGTAGCATTTTTTTCTCCATGTCAGATTCTTCCCCAGGTCAGTATCAGTGAGGGAATGATTACAGCACTCCCAGGCAGCTTCTGCTATTTCTTTTGGGACTCCTACTAACCAACCTCAGTATTCAAGTGTCTGAACTTTAGGTGGAATTGTTTAACCACTGCCCTCTCCAGATACTGGGAGAGGCCGGCTCCGGGTTTTCTCTGCTGCCACTAAGTGGGTGTGCTGACTTGATTGGAACCTTGCCCGTCTGCCAGGCGGTTATTAACTCAGGTAACCAATCCCTCTCGGGATCCTTGCTCTGAGGCTTTCTGATCAAGCTCTTTAACAGAAGTCAGGCTGACCAATCCCATGGTTCCTGGACACAGCAAGCTTGGACATTTAAATAACAATCTTGGTTTCTTCTAAGTTCTGTCTTACCCTGGTTTTGCATTTCTGAAGATGTTTTTAAAATTTAACTGGGTTCCTTAAAACTTGTCCAAAAGTGTTCCTACCAGTGACACACACTGACAGCTCTCTTCCTACAAACAAAATGCAGTGCTCTTAGCCATCACATCAATTTCCTGCAGCGTCCTCTTGGCCCGTGGTGTAAGCCCCTCCCCCGTTTATTCTCTAACACATCCTGAGACCCTTGATTGGAATGACCCATACCTTGGAAAACAGGAACCTGCTTAAGGTTTCTTGTGCCCAAGTTTGGCAAAGTTGCAAATGGAAAAACAGGTTGTCCTCCTTTAACGATTCATTCCTGCTGGTATTTTGAAAGAGAACTGATAATTGATGCTCCATAAAACCTGAGCAGTTAGTTCTGTGGTTCTTGGTAGACACTCTTGCTCACTAAAGCTCTTTATGATGCTGAGCTGGGGGACTGCCCTAGGACTGAATTTCAGTCTAAAGAGATGGTAAGAACAGTAGGCGGGGAGGGGCCTCCTACCCTCACCCAACCACGTTTTAGTACTTGTCAAGTTAGCTTGTATGTTACAACTTGTGCTTAGATGTCATCTGGTAACTACTGCAAATGCAGTTACTTTCTGTGAAAGGTTACTTTTCTCTAAAACTACTGCTCATGGGTCTGTGTGTAATGCATGGTTTAATGGAGAGACGGAGGCTCTGTGGGAAGGGTGGTGGCAGGCAGTGACCAACTGGTGCAGTCTGAGCTGCTGCTGGCACGGGCCCTCCCTGAAGGTGGAGTGAGGCTGGTGCTGAACTGTGTTGCTGCTTTTATGCAGACAGAGCTTAAAGTAAAGCACCTTTTCATCCAATTACAGAAGAAATACATCTGTATTTATTGTAAACCATGCTAGGTTATCTGCTTTAATGTACACATTGAACTAAAATGTGCTTTGGTGTTTTCTAAGTTCATGCTGTTCTGTATATTTTCCTATTTTTTCTAGCTACTAAACCAGTATATTGGTTCTAGGTTCAACATGGCACAGATACTTCTATAAAAAATAAGTTTTTAATAGCAAAATGGGCTCACATTGTAAAAGATGTGTGAGTTCATCTTATTAATTTTGGGGCCCATCTTTCTTAAGTACAGAATTAAAGACAAGTCCTCCTGCCAAGACCTGGGCACTATGAACAGCAAGTCCCATACAGCAACAAGCCCCCTTACTTCTGTCCACCATAAGCCTCTTGGAAAGCTGCTTTGGTCACACGCAGGCTGCTCCTCAGTTCCTCAAGGCGAGTCCAGGAGAAAATGGTGAGCTTCAAGTTAAAAGGGAAAGTTCTCACCTGAAACAGTGCTGGGAACCCAGACCAGGAGACCCTGGCCATTGCTCCAGATTGTCTCCTGCCATAATTTATTTCATTCCTTAGGCCAGAGGCCCCTTCAGAGACATGGCTGGGGGGGAAGGAGGGCTTGTAGGCGTTCAGGAGGTGTTAATGGTTCAGATGTCCCACTCAGAACTTCTGTAAAAATTTGAGGACAAGGTCCCGTAGTCGTACCCTGAGCATCTCGTCATTGTCACAAATGATATGGGTGGAATCTTCCTCAAGCTGGATGAGGGTCTCAGCCTCCTGCAGCAGGACGATGTGGCCCTTGGCAGTGTCCTCCACCTTAATGTCACTGAAGCCATGCTGCGCCACAAGAAAAGAAAGAGGAGGGGGATGGGTATACTCTGAAAAGCAAGGGCTAAAATGACATTTCCTACAATAGTTGGACAATACAATTCTCTAATTAGCAATAGGGCCTGCAATAGAATTCAGCCATACTTTCACATACTTTAAAATAGGCCTCAAACGTGCAAAATGTTCCCTGGTGACAAAGCTCTGCCTCTTAATTCTCAGCAGCCAGGACAGTGGAAGCAAGAGGTTGCTGACCGTGGGACCCAGCAAGTCCTCCCAAGCAGCAGAGCTGGCCTAACGCTGGTTACGAGATTTCCTTACAAATCAAGGATGAAAAGGACTAGCCAGAAGGTATCTACCTGTGGGGAAAGCAGGGGGCCTGTCTCCACTCTGGGACAGAAAGGTCCCCCTGCAGTGAGGAGAGATGGCGGCCAGGGTAGAATGGAGTATTCACTCGGGCAAAAGGTCTTTCTAGGAAAGCAAGTCAAGCTTGAGGCCCAGTGCTAGAGACACAAGCCCTGCAAGGACATGAGGAAGGTGGGCCACTGCTCACCACCAGCCCTGGGGGGCCCAGGAGAGTGATACAACTGGGCCGCAGCCCTTCCTCCCAGAACAGTAAACATGGAGGGAGAAAAAAAGGCTAATAAAGACAGAGCTTTATGTTAAGATGTGAGCAATTCATGTGTTTAGTTTGGACAAAATGTGGTTATTAATAGTTTTGTAGAAGAACATCTTTCCTGTAATTACTTATTAGGGCCGTGGCCGCTCTGGGAAGCAGCATCCCTAGCCAATTCCTTCTTCCTAGCAAGAATTCTGCAATCCTAAGGCTACAATGGTGACTTCTGAAGTCCTCTGGCCAAAGACAAAGGGAAAAAAAAAGTCCAACCTCAGATTTTGTCATAGTCCAGAAATCTCTTGTGTTTTTTTGGGGGGGGGGGTGGCAGCTCGGGGGATAGCAGAGACAGAGGGAAGGGCCACGGCGCCTGACTCTCCCATCTCTTGCTGGACCCATTACCCAAATCCCTGGACTTTTAAATAGCAGCTCTGATGCTGCCTGCTCACAAATCCTGACACTAAACCCAAGATTTGGGTCTCCTTGGACAGCCAGGGGTTGTGTGGAAAAGTGAGGGATGGCCCCTTCTAAAAGCTGGGGGGACTCCTCTCTCAGTACCCTGTGCCCACAGCATGAAGAGTGGGCACCTGGTGATAAGCAGCTACCCGGGGCCACAGCGAGGACGGCGCCCAGGCAGTGTGGATGGCGCACATGTAACTGGCTCACCTTCTCTAAAGTCTGTACAAACTGCTCCACCGGGATGGACCCGCTCAGCAGAGGCTTCAGAACCTTACAATCTGGGACGTCATCGCTCACCCGCTTTCTCTTCTTACTGCTTGTCGGCTGGGCAGGCCTGGGAGGAGGCTGGAGCAGAAGGAAAGCACGGCCCTGAGTGAGTGAGCTGCTCTGAGGCAGCGGAGGTCAGCAGAGGTCAGCACAGGCCACCTGAGACTCCCTGTCTGGGGGAGCCTCTTGTCTGACACAGACTGAGAGCCCAGCCCAGGCTGGAGTCAGTCACGGAGTGAAAACCCACTGGCACTGAGTTTGGGGTCGCCATCTGCTGGGGGCTCTGCAGCTCACACAGAAACGCAGGCCGACTGCCCCTGGGGATCAACATCTTATTTGGCTAAGATGTCTGCTTTTTATCAAGAGCCACTTTTAAATTTTCAGTTGATCCAACTCTGTATTTGCTGAGCAATGCTCTAGACCAGTGGTTTTCGGCCTTCTCAATGCTGCAATGTATTTTCATTGTTACAAAGGGGTCACGACCCACAGGTGCTGCTCTAGAATAAACCAGGCTGGCACTATAAGGTCAGGCTCATGGGCAAAACTCTGGCTGCAGAACCTTTGTTGAGAAGTTGGCTCTGAGATGGTGATAAGAGAATTCTGTGAGGCCTACATCAGACAATGCATCTCAAAGACTCAGCATGCTAATATACTTTAGCAGCAGCCAGCCACTTCATACACAGGCACAAATCTGAAAGGGATTCTTTTAATAGCAACACTGCAAGGCAGTGAGCACCCTGGGAGGGGGAGTGAGGCGTGCAGTGCCCTGGTGGTCATGTGCACCCCACCGTGCGCCAGGTTCTGGGGCCTTCACAGAGGCCAGGGGCTGTGTCTGCCCCAGCACCCGGCTGGCGCCACTGTGCTCAGGGCAGCTGCTCCACACAGGCTGGTCTAAGGATGTGCCTACAGAAGCTTCGAGAGGGGACGATGCTTAGGAAAATGCAGCCTCAGCTCTGGGAACAGTCGTCTCCTCCCCTTTCTTGGTGGCACGTGGCCATAGAACCTGTATGCTGTGCCGCCTTTGTTTCACACACAGCCCGTCATGTGGCCTGGTGTCTAACTGCTGCTGGTTTGCAAAGCAATGTTCTAGGGCTCTAGTTCTCATAGGCCCTGAGGATCCCCTGTGTTCACACCCAGCCCACCGCCTCCCAGGATACCTGAAGCACATGCTTGTTATCCTTGGTGTACAGAACAGCAGAGACGGTCGCCAAGGAGATGCCGGGCTTGATCTCCATGGGCACCAGGGAATCTGCAAGCTGAAAGCAAAGGGCAGGGGGTTTCAGACAGGTTCCCTCAAGGTGAGGGAAGAGGGGGCTGCAGCCCCACCCTTTCAAGCCAAGTGCAAGGGTGGATTGTGCCCTGGAGAGGGGATACCATGTCCACCAAGCTTACAGTGTGTGCCCCCGCCCAGCTCATGGCAAAGGCACCATTTATCAAGAGAAGTGTAAAGCTGAGCCTTTAATCACTGTTTTCTTTTCATCATTGCAGTCTAAGATGACCAAATAAATTGAAAGCAGAAAAAAGGTAAAATTTTTAAATAAAAAATCTACCTATGACTCATACCCATCCTTCAGGTGGCTTCTAACCCTTCTCAGAATCCCATGCCACGTACAGCCCTGCTGTCCAATCTGGCTTTGGGTTTATCCCCAACCCTTCCCCAGGTGACTGGTGTCAGGAAGGACAGAGACAGAGGTACTTGAGTTCTGCCATTCCTGAAAATCCGACTTCTCCTACTGGGGGATCCCCCCAGTGACCCCTGTGGGTATGTGTGTGTCCCCCCACCACCTGCACCTGATCCAAGCCATCTCCTCTGCACGGGGCGTGCCACGACCTCACTAGGAGCGTGGCGTTCTGGCAGACGAGCAGACCTCTACTCAGCCAGAAGAGGCTGGGTGTGGTGGCTCACGCCTGTAACCCCAGCTCCCTGGGATGCTGAAGAGGGGGGACTGCTTCAGGTCAGGAGTTGGAGACCAGCCTAAGCAAGAGTGAGACCTTGTCTCTACAAAAAAAATAGAAGTAGCTGGGTGTTGTGGCACATGCCTGTAGTCCCAGCTACTGGGGAGGCCGATGCAGGAAGATTGTTTGAGCCCAGGCATCTGAAGTTGCAGTGAGCTATGATGACGTCACTGCAGGGCAGCCCAGGCAACAGAGTGAGGCTCTACCTTGAAAAAAGCCAACTAAACCATGCAAAATGCCATTATATAAACAAGAAAATCACTCATCAAATGGGCAAAAGCAGTGTGTGGTGAACAGGCAGATTTGAGCTCAGGAGTTCAAGACCAGCCTTAATCAAAATGAGACGTCTCTACCAAAAATTACAAAACACTAGCACAAAACTGAGGCAAGAAGACAGCTTAAGCCCAAAAGTTTGAGGTTGCTGTGAGCTATGATGCCACCGCATCCCACCCAGGGCAACAGAGTGAGACTGTCTCAAAAATGAGGTCAACTTCAGGAGGCGGTCAGTGTGGGGAGGTGGTCAGCTATGAAGGTTCTACTACATCTGGCGAGGGTGAAGAGCTCCTGACACGGGACACAGGTGTGCGCCAGGCTCCGGGCAGAGCCAGCTCCTGCTTTCCCCTCTGTCCACGTGTGATCAGGTTTTCCTTCCCTACACCGTGATCACCCCCTTCACAGGTGAGCTCAGTGAGAGGTCTGGGGACAGTATCCTGGGAACCAAGCAGGTGAGACACTCTCCCTGGGTAGCTGTGAGCTAGCTCCCTTTCCAAGATGACTCTGAGGTGGGGACAGAAGGTCATGTGGCAGCTCTGCCGGACAAGAAGCCAGCCCACAACACCCAGCTCTGGAGGGAGAGTGTCCCGTTGCTGCTCCAGAAGGAAGCTTTCCTGAGAACAGGCCTGACATCTCAGAGCTGCTGCTTGGAACTTGTAGGGACCAGACAGGATTTCCAAAGAAGCTGCAGAGGGTGCACCTTCATCGGGAGGAAGGAAGATCCTTCAGGAGCAGCAACACAGAGCAAGAACAGAGCTGAACCCTTTCCTCCCACACACGCATTTCCCAGGCATTTGGTGAGATTATACCTAAGGGTCTGTTTTCATTGTGCTTTAAGAAGGATGAAAATCTCTTTATCTTTGGATGAAGTGAAATCAGTAGAAAATAATGAGAACAATCCTGAAATCTTTAGAACAATGCTGTGGAACTCTGCTGGCCTGGCAGTGGTGGAGGCAGATGCAGATATTCATAGATAGAAACCAGGGTAGGAACTTCCTCACTCATCTGGCATATGCTGTGTCCTGGAGCTGATACGCCCTGAGAGCCATCAGTTCCAATCCAGAAAAATATCCACATGTGGGCATCGCCTGGTGGCTCAAAGGAGCAGGGTGCCAGCCTGGAGGTGGTGGGTTCAAACCTGGCCTGGCCAAAAAATGCGCAAAAAAAAAAAAATATATATATATGTGTGTGTGTGTGTGTGTGTGTCCAGATATATTTAAAAAGCAGGCCTAGGAAAGGTTTGGGGTCCCTTGGCAGCAGCCTCTAGGCAAAGTGCAGGGTGGCCAGTGGCTGCAGAGCCTCAAAGGCAGCTGGGTCTTGCCCTGTGTCCCCTGCTCTGGGGGGAGCCCTCACTGGACGTCCCTCTGTTCCCTGGACACCATGCAGCGTGTTCGCAGAGCGAGAAGAGACCACAGAGACCTTTAAGAACAATCCTGGGAGAGAATGCTCACCTCGGGCATGATCTCGATCTTCTCGTACCGACGTTTGAAGGGCAGGGTGAGGACCTCGGCCCGCCGATAGGATGTGGCTGGGGGCTGGCAGTCGATTACAAGGTCTGTCCTGTGGGACTGGGCTGGGGGCGGCTGCGTGTACTGCTCAGGACAGACCACGTGCAGGGGCTGAGGAGCCAATGGACATGGTCAAGGAGGAAGACAGGAAAGGAGCCAAAGCCGTGATGGAGCAGCCTGCCCCTGACACGCAGGCTGGCCACCTGCAGGCCACTGTGAGCACGCTCTCCCAAACCAGCCAGCCGGGCAGAGGGGAGGAGACGGGGTAGAACAGACAGCGCAGGGAAACCCCTACTGCCAGCTGCATGGACTGGACAAGGGACGGATGTACTGGCTCAGTCTGCATGGGGCTTTATTTTTACACTCTGCTTAAGTAAATTTCACAGTGACTTCCACATGTCTACCCCAAGTGGTCTCTAAGCTCCTGAAGGGCACAGTCATAACCTTTACACATTAACTGTCACAAGCTCTTAGCAGCAAGAACTGTGACTTTTTGGGGGGGGGGGCAGGGCTGGGTTTGAACCTGCCACATCCGGCACCATGGGGCCGGTGCCCTACCCTTTTGAGCCACAGGCACCGCCCAGAACTGTGACTTTCTGTGCTAGGCTGGTGTGTGGGGCTTCTTGTGGTATCTGTAGGTCACGTGGTATTAGCCACTGTGCGCTGGTCAGATCACATGCTGTGTATGACAGCAAATCAGAAGATTGAATTCTTTTTAAAACAGTATCTTTTCATTATCTTGAGAGGAAAAAAAATTAATAAACCAATGTTTACTTTGGACAAATATTACCCACTTGAAAAGTAAGGTTGGCAGCCCACAGGGTCATTAGAGTTTAAACCAAACCACAAATCCCTTGAAGAAGGCGGCTTTCCTGCTGAGGTGGGAGAATTACTTGTGACCAGCCTGAGTGCAAATGTGACCCCATCTCCCCTAAAAATAGAAAACTTAGCTGGGTATGGTGGCAGGCGCCTGTAATCCCAGTGACCTGGGAGGCTGAGGCAGGAGGATCCCTTGAGCCCAGGAGTTTGAGATGCAGTGATCCTGCCACTGCACACAGCCCAGATGGCAGGGCTGGAGGCACCGCTGCAGCTGCTGCGGACACTGAGGGAACGGGACACGGACATTTACCTCTCTCTCTTGTTCTAAGCTGCCTTCCCTGCCATTTCTAATTAGTCTCCCTATTCCCAGTTGCCAGAATGCTTCCCAGGAATGCTGTGACTGACCTGGCACGGTGCTCCTGTGTCCCAGCTTCCCCTGTCCCCTCTGCACAGAATCCTCCCTTGACCCACATTTCCCCAACTACACCTTCCCTTTCTTTAGGGCAGAAAATGCAAAATGAAACACATGAACAAAATCTGCAACCAAACCCAATTAAAAACAAAACAACTGCTTGTTGCACACGAGCTCAATACGTTTTCATTAAACTGCCTTCCAGTTTATGGAGTATGTTTTTAGAATGACTATTTGGAGGTGTGCTGGGGGAGTTAGCAGGGTTTAAGTGGACATAATCCTCATAAAAACTACTAGACTGTTTTCTCTCCCTTCCACTTTTGAGTTTTTTGGAATGGAAATTTCTTTCAGGGTGGAAAGACTATTCCTTTTAACCAGTGTTATATCCCAGTCAACTGTAGCTGGATAACAGCCCGCCCCCAGCACCACAGAGGAACACAGAAGCTTCCTTTGTTACCTGCACTTCTTTAAGCAGCTTGGACACCTGGATGAAGTTCAGCCGCGTATCGATGGGGCAGTATATGCACTTCATGGCCAGCGGCTGGTAGGGAGCCAGGGCCTCCAGGTAGGAGAAGTCCGGTTCTAAGGAAGATCCAAAAAGGACATTTTAGAATAAAGGCAACAGAGGAGCTGCTGAGTGAAGTGGCTGGGCACGGGGTTAGGGGATGAGCCAGGAAGGACGGCATGCAGGTGACGGGAGTCACTGGAGTCCTGATTAAGGCAGAGGAGAGGCTGGCATGGACCATGTGTGATGGATTTGGAACGGGAGGATGGGTGAGGGCTTAAAGTTTCCAACACAGAACAGAGGCAGATGAGATAAGTGAGGGATAAATAAGCAGGTGGGGGAAAGGGGAAACCTCTTCCTTATAACAAAAAGCCAACTAATAAATGTAAAAAGGAGATGAAATAAAAAAAAATCAACATTTGGCAATCATCACAGTAATGATTTATTCTGACTAGAATCATTAATAAATGCTAAGAAAATTTGGTAAAAATTTAAGGACAGGATATACAGAAAGTCTCAAAGTGACCCCACAGGATACAGCAACTGCACAGTGGGAAGGCCTGACATAGACTAAGAAAGCCAGAGTGGCCGGGCGTGGTGGCTCATGTCTGTAATCCCAGCTGAGGTGGGTGGAGGGCGCTGTGGCTCACCCTGTCATCCCAGTTGCAGTGGGTGGACTGCCTGAGCAAGAGCAAGACCCTGTCTCCACAAAAAAATAGAAAAAACAGGAGAAATAACTTGAGCCCAAGAGTTTGAAGTTGCTGTGAGCTACGATGCCACAGCACTCTCCCCAGGACAGCAGAATGAGACTAAAAAAAAAAAAAAAAAAAGCCAAGAATCGCACGCTCAGAGTTAACACCTAGGTGTGAGACAGAGGAACATCCAAATGTCCACCTGCCAGGAGGCACCCAGCCTTGACCCTGTAGGGACAGATGTTTCTGCTGAGATTACTACACTGCGCCTGCAGCTGGGAACCATCCATGCCACGTGCTCAGTCTTTCTCAAGGGCTGCTGCCCCAAAGGAAGCTGTCCACCCTGGGCCGAAAAAACTAGCTCGGTCCTGGTGATAAAGGACACTTAGATTTCCAGCAGAATGTGTCCAGTGAGGATGGACCCCTGGCCTAGGCTCACCTGGCACAGTGACCTCTCCAGTGTCTTCGAGACAACTGACAGAGCTGCAGATGTGTAAATTACCACCCCTAAGGACAGCACTCCGCTAAGAACGCCCAAGACCCCCCAGTGAGACCTGCACAGGCTACCACCCCTAAGGACAGCACTCCACTAAGAATGCCCAAGACCCCTCCAATGAGACCGGCACAGGCTACCACCAGAGGACAGCACTCCGCTAAGAACGCCCAAGACCCCTCCAATGAGATGTGCACAGGCTCCCAGCAGGGGATACTGACTCTCTTTGCATGTGTTTGGTACTCACAGTACAATAAAAAAGATGACTCAAAACTTTACCCTGGCATAAGTGGACATCAGAAAGGACAAAACCTCCGCTCTGAAGCTCAACAAACCGGTTTGAAAGCAAACTCTCTTCCCATTGTTGTCATGGGCAATAACAGAGCCCTGATTTCTTACCGTGTTTCCCCAAAAATAAGACACTGTCTTATATTTTTTTCTCAAGAAGACACACTAGGGCTTATTTTCAGGGGATGTCTTATTTTTATTAACTATAATGCAACAATCTACATTTATTCAAATACAGTTAAGTTATCTTCTTCTGGAACCTGACAGGGGGAGCCGACCTTGTTGGTGGGGCTGGCGCTAGTGATGCGTGAATTCCTTTCCCCTAGCAGTTCACACATGGGCAATAGGATGCCTGTGACTACGGTTACCACATGCGCACCTGCGCAAGTGGGAATGGCTGGGAGAAAGGCGCTGTGGCAGATAAAAGGTATTCCAGTCTTCCTTACTGCTCCACACCAAAATGCAGGGCATGCCCATCACTAGGTCTTATTATCGGGGTAGGGCTTATATTTAACAAATGCATAGAAATCCTGCTAGAGCTTATTTTTTGGTAGGTCTTATTTTTGGGAAAACATGGTAGCTAAAAGAAAATGTCTTAGAGCCGACATTCTGACTCTGCCTATGCAAATGCTGTCCCTCCTGTCACATCAGAGGTGCCGCTCATCCACAGGAGAGAGAAGCCTTAGTTCTGCTCCGCACACTGCTCTCTGGACGCCTTCCTGATTAGAACACTCCTGCCAATGTGAAGCTATGATACTGAGAATCAAGGTTTTATCCCAACTTCCTCTGCCTTTGGCCCAAAGGAGGCCCAAGAAGGAACAGCCCTGACGACTGGGAGCTCTCCTCATACTCTGCTCGCCTGTGGTGTTGGCAGGAGCTGGTCCAGCACCCACAGCAGGGCCATAAGTGTCCCCCTCTGTGTACACACCATGTCATAGGGCACCAACATTAGATGAGGCCACTTGGTAGCCATGACAGATCTGGCCAAAAGGAGGCCTCCCGTAATCATGGCTCAGGACAAGACACAAGCCTGTTCCAACCACAAAACGAGCAAATGCTGCCCTGTCCTGGCTCCATTCTGTGTTCTAGGTAAGAATCAGAAGACATCTAATGGTGGAATTGCCCCGCACCTGTGGAGTGATATCTCATGTTCTCAGATCACCCCACGTCCTACAAGGAGGTCTTTCCCCTTCCTGTACAAACAGTCTGTGTTCCCCTCACCACAGGGACACAATAAGCTCACCTTTGTTCAACTACAGGTGTGTTCTGGTGGCCTGTAGTGTTTGTGACTCCAATGCTTTTGGCATAACTAGAAAATGCTGAGGAGGGAGAATGTGGCTGATCCTTCCTCAGTGGGCTGCCCCCTGGTGCTGACACACGGTATTTCACCAGTGCCCAGAGCAGCCCACGGTGGAGGTGGTTACCCACAATCCTGTTCACAACAGTGCGGCTCCGTGGGTGACCTGGCTGAGGTTGCAGCAAGTTGGGCCACATTTCAGATCAAGGTTTTTTACTTTTTAGCTCATTAAGTTTTCTAAAATTTTAGGCTGACTGAGGCTGACCTTAAATTGATAAAATAATGTTATGAGTATCAAAGTAAACTGCCTAACTTAGGCTAATTGAAGAATTTTTTTTTCCCTGACGGATTCATCTCCAGAAGAAAAACTGCAGCCCAAGTAAACTATAATCAAGGAGAAGGCACCATTTCAGTCAATAATTCCTGAAGGGTAAAATGAGACGAGTCCCAAGGATTACTGCAATTCTGGACCTGGCTTACAAAATCCCATCAAAATCAGTGCAGTACAAGTCTGTCCCAGGGAAAAATCCTAAAAACAGACCCCAAAGCCTTACTACTCAGTGATCTAACCATCTGTTGTGTCACTCTTACTCCTTCCCTCGTGGGGTCTTAATTCTTTGGTACTTACATGAAAATAATGATCATATGTATACCTTACCCTAAAATCCTTCCCTGAGCAGGTACAATCACTAGTGGCTCCAGTAGAAAGAGCAGAGGTTTGCTTATTTTTTTACTTACCTGTGAATATGACAGTGTTGAGACTAGATTTTCCCCAGAGCTCCATGAAGTGGACCACGTCCCCAAATCGGAGGGAAGGGTGCCCAGTGAACAATACACACGGCTGTCTGAAATCATTGCTGAAGTCTCCGTGGATGCTGGGGTAGTGTTTCAGCTTATTGGTCTGAATGAGCTAGAATATACATAAACTAAAGTATGAAAACACATTAACTATTCAGGTTTTACCTACTATATCGAGCCCCTAATAGCAAATAAGCAAACAGGATTTCCCTTCTTCTGTTCTTAGATCCAGTCCATAGTTCACTGGGTCCACCTCGTTGTCACATTCTCTGATAGCTCCCTGGTCTTCCCTTGTCCTCTGGGTCAGTTGTTTTGTAGACCCTTGGCTTAGGTCCAATTGCTATTTGCTCAGTTAGATTCAGGTGATGCATTTATAGCAGCTCTGTCCCAGAGAGCACACTGTTTTCTCAGTGACTCATGTAAGAGGCACAATCTCAATCAGGCCAGTTACTGGTGATGCTAAAGTTGATCACATGTACGTCAGGTTTGTCCAAACTAAAGTTACTATTTCTCTCTTTGAAATAAATAAGAATTTTGTGGGCAAACTTTGAGACTATGTAAATATCTAGTTTTTCATAAAATTCTCAACTACTGGTTTTAGCACCTTGTGATGGTAACTCTTGCCAGAAAATACTATTACTGTGAGGATCACCAAAAGGTGATTTTCTAATTCCATGATTCCTTCCTGCATCAATTACGTGGCGTTCCCTTATCCTTCCTCTAGAGTTGGGAGAGTTTGGTAGAGTTTCCCCCTATCCTTCCTCTATTTATCTACCTCACTATGGACTCAGGAGTTTCTGCTATTCGATAGTTATACGAAGTATTCTGAGGCTTCACTGACATCAGAGGTAGCCTTCTGACACGGCCCCATCATTTTCTGAGGACACATAGCAGGATCTTTCAGCCTTATCTTGTATTCTGAAAAGAGGCCTGGTTCCTTTGCAGCAGGGAATGGTATTCAGAAACCAAGATCTGGGAGCTAAATACACGGACTGGCTAGTGAAGTATCGCTGCTCCTGAGGCCTCTCAGTGGACAGAGCTGGGGGAAGATACGGACAGGTCTGTGTGCGTGTACATCCACATGCACAGTGGATTTCTTTCTGTTTCTATCTGCAGATATTGACAATATGGGGTCACACCAGTACCACCAGCACAGGGTTCATTCTCAGCTTCACTCTTTTCCCCCCTTGATGAATTCCTTACAAAGTAAACACAGATGTACGTCAAGAAGTGAGACATGACTAGCTCCTCAGAAATCCCTCTGTCCCCTCCAGTCACAACTGTCCCACCCCACACCCAAGATAACCACTACCCCTGCTTCTAATACCACGGCTTAGTTTGTCGTGTTTTTGAACTTTTATATAAATACTATAAAGCCACACCTCATCTACTCTTTTTATATCTGAATTCTTTCCACTCTTCCGTGTTATATTTGTGAAGTTCATCAACACTGCTGCACGATCGGCGTTTACTCACTCTCACTCATGTAACGTGGCCCACCATGTGAATATCCCACAGAATCCTTTCTGCTGATGGGCATCTGGGTATATTTCAATACTGTTACCCAGAAGCCCAGATTTCTGTGTGTGTCTTTGGTAATACATCTGTGCATTCTGCATATACTCTAGGAACTAAACTGCTGAGGCACAGAGCATGGCATTTACTGTTAGCAGATGCTGCCAAACAGTTTTCTAAAGGGCTTATGCCAATTTAGACATCCCTTTAATAAAAATGTAACAAAAAATAAGGAGTAACTCTCATCCCACAGTAGGAGAATCACTGAGCTCATTAGAGGATGTTTGTTGATGACTGGCTACGGGACATGAAGCAGCAATTATCAGACTATGAGGCATGCAGACAAAGGCCCATCATATACCAGGTGGCGAAAAAACAATGAAAATAAAACTCTACATTCAGCTGTACAGAAACACCTATCAGTTCTTTGAGGGAGGGGGAATTTTTCTATTTTTTTAAGCTGAAATGTTAACTTCACCATTAAAAATTTACATATATAGGGTGGCACCTGTGGCTCAAAGGAGTAGGGCGCTGGCCCCATATAACAGAGGTGGCAGGTTCAAACCCAGCCCCAGCCAAAAACTGCAAAAAAAAAAAAATTTAAATATGTAGTTGACGTAACTTACTGGAAAGAATACTTTTAAACTTGGCTCAGCGCCTGTAGCATAGTGGTTATGGCACCGGCCACGTGGGTTCAAACCTGGCCCAGGCCAGCTAAACAACAGTGATAACTGCAACAAAAAATAGACAGGCATTGTGGCAGATGCCTGTAGTCCCAGCTACTTGGGAGGCTGAGGCAACAGAATCACTTAAGCCCAGGAGTTGGGGGTTGCTGTGAGCTGTGACACCATAGCACTCTACTGAGGGTGATATAGTGAGACTCTGTCTCAAAAGAAAAAAGAAGAAGAATACTTTAACAATAAATAAATCCATTTTCTGCCAGGCACAGTGGCTCACGCCTGTAATCCTGGCACTCTGGAAGGCCAAGGTGAGTGGATTACTTGAGCTCAGGAATTCAAGACCAGCCTGAACAAAAGTGAGATCTCATCTCTACTAATAATAGAAAACTGAAGCAAGAGGATTGCTTGAGCCCAAGAGTTGGAGGTCGCTGTGAACTATGATGCCACAGCACTCTACCCAGGGCGACAGCTTGAGACTCTGGTCTCAAAAAACAAACAACAACAAAAAAGTATCCATTTCCCCCAAAAGACAGTAGTCTATTTTAGAATAAAATTCTTCATCCGGTTAATAGAACAGAGGTAGGCTATGAACTGGGTAAACACAGTCCAAGTTGAACATACCTAATCTAAAAATCCAAAATCTGAAATGTTCCAGAATTGCAAACTTTTTGAGTACTGACACGATGCTTAAAGGAAACTTCACTCACTGGAGTAATGTGAATTTCGGATTTTTGAATTTGGGATGTTCAAGTGGTAAGTGTAATGCAAATATCCCCAAATCTGGAAAAATTCAAAGTCTGAAACACTTCTGGTCCCTAGTAGTTCAGATAAGGGATACTCCACCCGTGGTGGTACAGTGCCGATGGGGGAACAAAGGCGTCTTGAGTTAGAACGCGTCACTGCACCTGACTTGGGGGCAGAGGGACCTGCAGCTCTCCCTGGGGCAGCTCTGCTCTGACGAGCTGCTGTCCTCATCCACATCCAGTTACCATATTCCTTCCTCTCCATACCCCAGTAATTCTTTGTCTTACCTCGGCGTGTGGAAAAGGCGGCTCTGGGAGATACACCTTACTCTGTTTGTTGTGACAAAGCCTGGGAAGAGCAAACACAGATGAGCATGTTAGGAAGGGCACACTGGGGCATGTGCTGCCACCTATTGGCAACAGTGAAAATACTAACTACTGAAGTGTATTTAAAAATTTCCTGCCAATGAATTTCACTGTGAATAAAAGCCTGGGTCTACAGAACCTTCAGGATACAAATATCTTTTTTTTTTTTTTTTTTGAGACAGAGCCTCAAGCTGTCCCCCTGGGCAGAGTGCTGTGGCATTACAGCTCACAGCAACCTCCAACTCCTGGGCTCAAGCGAGTCTCCTGCCTCCGCCTCCCAAGTAGCTGGGACCACAGGCGCCCGCCACAATGCCCGGCTATTTTTTGGTTGCAGCCGTCATTGTTGTTTGGCGGGTCCGGGCTGGGGATTCGAACCCGCCACCTTAGGTGTACATGGCTGGCGCCTTAGCCGGTTGAGCTATAGGCGCCGAGCCGATACAAATATCTTGTGGGCAACTTTCTTTTAACCTTTAGAATTTCTCAATACATTTTTTTCTTTAAAAAAGTATATTATTTTGGAATATTTTAGATTTAAAGTTGCAAAGGAAGTAACAGCACCCCCCATAAACCCTTCACCTTGAGTCCCCAATGTAAACATCTTACATAACTGCGGTACATTTTTCAGACTAATAAATTAGTATCAATGCACTACGATTAACTAAACTCTAGACTTTATTGGGATGTGACTGGCTTTCCACTCACCCTGCGTTCCAGGATCCAATCCAAGGTAGCGCACTTTGCATTTCCTCAGGATCAGTGCTGAGGCAAAGTGCTTTTCCAGAGCACGCCCTTCTGTCCCTGGGCAGCACTGCTACTTCCAGTGGCCAGTGACTGGGGGTCTCAGTTAGAGAACCCCGGGTAATCTATGTTTATTCCTTGTCACTCGTGACTTCAAAATACAGAGAGGCCAGGATAAAGCAACTGTGGCCAGAAGCTTACAACTTGATAAATCCGTACGTGTGAGTGTTCTATAGGTTGACATTTTTTTAAAATGGGGAAAAATATTCGTAGTGATGTACATCAGAGTGTACTTCTGAGACATTTACCCCATGATATGAAAGCACTGAAACAGTTCCAATGGACACAACTTTCTGGGAGGAGTTCAGGACTTCAGGGCTTGGATTTTGTATTAACAATACAGTATATATCTAATTTTTCCTACCCTTAGTTTCCTTTAATTAAAAACATCACTTTATATCCTTTTTGGAAGAAGATATAAATATGGAAGCAAGGTGTTTTTTGTTACCTTATAAGATCTAAACAGACACTACTCCTATCTTTATTTCCAGCCCAGGAAGAGAGACAAATGTAAGAGCTTACTTCAAAGTTACTTAGATTGTTCCAAAGGCCACAAGCTACCCCCATTAGAAGGCAGAGATGAGGGACACAGAGCAGACTGCGATGTGATGATGTGATTAGAGACGGTGAAGCCCTCCTACTAAGTACCTGCGGCCAGTTCAGATAAACAGATCCTTCATGCTCTCGTCTAGAATCCTCGTGTGGGCAGGGACCTATAGCCTTTCACAGAGAGAGGCTAAAGGAGCTGATTAGAATTTGCTTCCTCTGGAGCTGGAGTTTAACAGGGTCTCTGCATTTACTGGGTTATGGAGTTTAACAGGGTCTCTGCATTTACTGGGTTATGGAGTTTAACAGGGTCTCTGCATT